TTTTTAAATTAAGTAAACTTTTTAAGGAAAATACAATTATTATGTGGTAGAGACTGCCAATTACAAAGAAAAATAGAAATAATGATGATAATGATGATGATAATGATGATGATACTGCCAGGAGGTGGGATCTGGTAAAAAAAAAAAAAAAAAAAAAAAAGGCTCATCAGTTTGCCTGATAGACCCTGTAGCAAAACCCTATCAGCATCACTTCTCTTCATCTTCCCTTTCCTAGAATCATGCATAAAATTGTTAAGCAACCTGGAAGGAAACTAGAAGAGGCCCAGTGAGCTTTTGTGAACTTGGTATTTACTACTATGATAACTACATATTAATTCATTTGTGATAGGAAGAATAATGTCCCCCTTCCAGACATCCAACTTCCAATTCAGGGAAACTTGCATGTCAAAAGGCAGAGTTGCAAATGTAATGAAGTTAAAGTTCTTGAGATGGAGAGATTTTCCAGAATTATCTAATGTTACCAAAGGGGTATCAAGAGAATGAAGCAAAAGGGTCAGAATTAAAGAAAGAGACATGACTAAAGCATGGTGTGGAATGATGGTGGGTCCATAAGCCAAGAAATGCAGGTGATTTCTAGAATCTGTAAAAAGCAAGAAATAGATCCTCCTCTAGAACCATCAGGAGTGTAGGCCTATCAGCCTGTTTTACACTTCAGGTCTCCTAAGTGATAAGATATTAAATGTACTGTTTTAAAGTACTTAAATTTGTTGCAGCATAGATGGGAAACTAAGATGTATCTAAAAGAGTATTCCTGGAAATAAAAGCATAATATTTTGGCATTTGTAAATGAAGACTGTTTGAGAATAATTTAACTAACTTATAAAATGAATTTCCAATATTTAACTGTTGAGCTTTGCATGATATCTAACCGTGATGTATCATACCATAAACTAAAAATGCAACTGCATAATTAAAGCAACAACTGATAGCAGCAAAAGGTTAAAAACTACATCAAAAAATGAAAACATGAAAAAATTCACTGATATTAAGAACAAGTTTCAGATACTGAAGCATTAAAAAATTGTAAGATTATGGTGCACATTGATTTTTAAGAATATGTATATATTAATAATAAACTGGAGTCTAAGAATTTAGAAGGATCATGTACAACGAATACATGGGACAGAAGCAATAATTAAAGACAAAAAATACTGTATAAGTTTTCAAAATAATCTGGACATATGCTTTAAGTGAATCCATAGCATTACAAGCAAATTCAATGAAAAAAGTAAAAAGGCTGGTGAAATTATTAAATTATCAAAGTCAATAGCATATAAACAAGAGTAATAAAAAGGATATGAAAAGAAAACCCCTGGAAAACAGCACAAAATGAGCTGACCTCAGCCTTTTTCATTGGAAATGTTAAAGGTAATGGAGAACCTTCTGATTAGGTCTGTGATAAAGATGGTGACTGATCTATATGAGTGACGACTAATCAAGTTCCCTCTAGTGTAAGAAGGCTTCAAAAGTACATTTGAAAATAATCTGGAAATTGATCTTCTATGCGTCATGATTCTTGAAAAGAAATTCACATTTATGTGCTGGTTAACTGTGATGGTTTAGGTTTGAGGTGTCCCCCAAAAGCTCATTGATTTCCATGTCTGTCCTGAGCTGTCTTCCTCCTCCTCACCCTTTCACCATCATGTTCTGCCTCACCTTGGGCTCAGAACAGTGGAATCAGCCATCTATGGACTGAGACCTATGAAATTGTGGGGCCCAAGTAAACTCTTTCTCTTCTACATTGTTCTTGTCAGGTCTTTTGATCACAGCAATGTAAAAAGCTGACTCAAACACCAACTGAGAGATGAATCAAAGTTAAGAAATTAGGAAGAGGGCATTTTTTTTTTCAAATTGGATTCCCATTTTAGAAATATATACAAATTAGGAAAGCATATGAGGGGATTATTGTGTGTTCAGGGGGAATTCTGCCACCAGGATACCAGAATTGTTCCCCTTTTGCTGTTCTTAGCTCTTACTCACTAACATTACTCCCTAGATCTAGGAAATAAGTTTTATGCACTGCAGTTTGGGTTCCTGGGCTTGATTACTGCTTAAAACAGTCATCAGTGATGTTCTGTTCCAGCTTTCACTTCAGATGATGCGGCTATTTATACTTTTAGGACACTATGCTGAGCTAATTATGAACTATCTCCTTCTCACTGCCCTTGCCTCTTAGGAGAGATATGAAGAACAGCAAAATGATAATCATTTAATTCCCAAGGAAATTGCTAAATAATTTTTTTGAATCACTAAAACTCACAGTGAATGTGACCTTAGGTTTTCAGGGGGGGGGGGGGATCATTGATTTTGATTTTTTTAATTTTAACTGTGAAAACTTGATAAGAATCCTAAGAATGGAATATAATATCTCTCATAAATCTTCATTTTTATAGGTTTCTAGTTATTAAAAAGAACTGCCTGGAAGGTATTATAATGGGGATCTGAAATGTCCCCCAATGTCTCATTTGCTAAAGGCTTCATTCCTAGCCCACACTACTCCTGGGAGGTGGTGGAAGATTTAGAAGGTGGAGGTAGTGGAGAGAAGTTAGGTGATTGGAGGTATGCCCTTGAAGTGGGTATTGGGACCCTAGCCCCTTCCTGTCTCTTTTTGCTTCCAAGCTGCCATGAGGTTTATAAATAGACTTCCTCTTCCATGTGCTCCTGACAGTCATACTGTGATGCCTTGCCACAGGCCAAAGCAACAGGGCAAAGATATATGGACTGAAACTTTTGAAACCTCATAAATTGTCTCAGGTATTTTGTCATGGTGATGGAAAGCTGATTAACACAGGGGATTAAATTTCTAACATGTTTCTTTATAGTTATTCTAAAATATGGATCTGTACGGGTGGGTATAGAGGATGTATATGTGTGAGAGAAAGATTACCTGTTTTATCTAAAATGAGCTACACTTCCTACATAAGAATTTTCCTACATGAGAATTTGTTTATGGAATTCCAACTGACTACATTGATATAACTCTAATTTATTTTTTTTCATGGTTGCATAAAGCTCCGTGTTATGGGTGTACCAGACTATTATATTTCTTCCTCAAAATACAAAGCTGTTCATATTTTTGTAAGCTATGTGTGAATTACCCTTTATCTGCAGATTCCTGATTATTTTTATAATTTGAGAAAAAAAAAACTTTGTTTTAGAAAAACAAACAGAAAATTAAAGGATCTGAAATTCATTCAAAAATGAAAATGCTTAAAACATGCTATCCTATAAAGATTTGCATTTTAATTGATATCAAGCTTGAAAAGAAAAGAATGAAGATCTTAGGTAGTTCTAAACATGGAGTAAAGAGTAAATGAACTTCTCTAATGATCTGATGTGCACTTCTTCAGGTACTGAATTGGTGCACACTATAATGTTTGGAAACATAATAATGCCAAAAATCTGAGCGTGTGTTATGCTTGGACTCAGAGTAGAGATAATGCAAGATATCAAGGGAAGCTTCCAGGTCTCTGGTGACAACAGTGGCCCTCTGTTTGGTTTTTCTGATTTTTAAAAAATTGTGGTGAAATACACATTATAGGAGATACATGATCTTAACCACTTTTTTTTTTCTTTTTTGGTACTAGAGATTGAACCCAGGGGTGCTTGACCACTTAGCCACATCCCCAGCCCTTGCTTTCATTTTTTTTTTTTTGTTTTGAGAGAGGGTCTTGTTTAGTTGCTTAAGGACTGGCTTTGTACTTGTGATCCTCCTGCCTCAGCCTCCCAAGATTCTAGGATTATAGATTATAGGTATGTGCCATTGCTCCTAGCAATTTTAACCACTTTTAAGTATACAATTTAGTGGTATTAAATACAGTCACATTGATTTGAAACCATCATCACTATCCAACTTGAGAACTTTTTTCATCTTGCAAACTGAAATTATGCACCCATCAAACACTAACTCCTTAGTTTTCCCTCCCCCATGTCTCTATTCTACTTTCTGTCTCTGTGAATTTGACATTGTAAGCACCTCACCTCATATAAGGGGGATCTAAAGTATTTGTCTTTTGTAACAGGTTTTTTTTTCATGTACCATAATATCCTCAAGGTTATCCACATTGTAGCACACATGTATTAGTAGTTTATTCTTTTTTGTGGCCAATCAATAATCTATTGCACATCGTGATGGACTAATCATTTGTATCTGTCAAAATTTCACATGTCAAACCTTTATCTCAATGGAATGGTTTGGAGGTTCTGCCTCTGGGAGGTAATTTTGTCCTGAAGGTCATGAGTGGGATAGTCCCTTTATAAGGCCAGAGAGCTATATAGCTTTTTTATTCTCCCATGATGGAATATAGAAAGAAATTATTGATATGCAACCTGCAGAGTACCCCTTTCAAAATAGAACCATGCTGGTAATCTGATCTTGGACTTACAACCTCCAGAAATTTCTAGCTTTTAAATCCAAATCCACTCAGTCTATAATATTATTCTCTTTTGGAATCTCAAACTAAGATATAGATATAGATACACATATATACATAGACATACATAGCATTTTGCTTATCCATTCATCTATCAATAGATAGTTGGGTGGCCTCTACATTTTAGCTAGTATAAATAATGCTGTTACAAACATGGGCATACAGATACCTCTGACAGTCCCTAGTTTCATTCTTTTGATTATGTGCACACACACATGGAATTGCTAGGTCGTATGATAATAATATTTTTAATTTTTTTGAGAAACTATCAGTTATTTTCCACACTGGCTATTTTTATATTCTCACCAAAAGCTTGCAATAATTCTAATTTCTCCATGTGCTCACCAACACTTGTTATTTTATGGTTCTCATTTTTATGGTAACAATCCTCATGGGTGTGAAGTGGTGTTTCATCCTGTGCTTATTGGCAATTTATGTATCTTCTTTGCATTTTGTTTTGAGATTGCCACAGGCTTCTTCCCACAGAGGTAGCTGATATTCAGTCCTTCTGGGCCTCACGGAAGATACATTTTCCCTTACTCCTAGAGAATTCCAGACTAAGTGAAGGAAGAGTGCCAATATTTGCCTGCACAAATCAAGGCAACAGAGGCATCCTGACACGGAGCAGCATTCCTCCACCAGCAGCATCCACTCAATGACAATAATAATGACAATGACACCAACAACAGAGATCTACTGACAAATACTCTCCTTCCTCTCTGCATGGCATGACTGTTGTTGCCCATGTGTATACAAGTGGTAAGTAAGCTCGACCAATAACTGCTTGTATAAGCTTGGACAAATTAGATATCATACTTACCTTATAGGATGGGCCTTGACTTGCTTTCCTGTAAGACTTGGAAAAACACTTCCAGGAATGTTAATAGGATCGAGCACTATAGATGCATGAAGTTGCTTTGAAATGTATTTAAAGCATAGAAATATTGCTGCATTGGCAGCTTATCAAAGAAGGCTTAATTTTATTCTGTGAGCTGGTAAGCCCCCCAAAGTAATCATTAAGCCCATTTTTTGAATGAGAATAATATTGCAATTTGAACTTGTTTGCTTAAATGTGTTTACGTATTATTAAAACCTCTGCTACAGGAAAGATGTAAAGACTTAGCCAAGGTAGGGTCTCCTATACAAAAGGTAGGATCCATAGGGCAAGGAGCTAGGCAATCAAACATCTTTCCTCCTTCTCCATCTAAAACTTCAGAAAGAGCTACTGGTCACTGAGCACATACTTTACTGCCTAAAGAGCAATCTTTTATGAATCAGAAATGAGATTTCAGTGAGGGAGACAGGAACAGTCAAAGTTCAGGTCAGATGCACTAATCATGGCCTCCTGCTTAGGGTAGCCAGGTGCATTTGGTCCTGAACACATCATTTCTATGTTTTAAACTTTGGAATGTAGTAATGGAATTAATTATGTTGGTATCATGTTCATAGGCAAAATGTCCTATAAATTATGGCAGTACTCTAAAGAATTGAGCCAGGAGAATATTTTGGTTTTGATAAGTAGCATAATTCAGACCAAAATGCCTCCCAGATTTGAACTTAAAAAGACAAAAAACAGTGATCATTCACCACTTCTTTGGCTGACACAGAGCTAGATGATGATCTCAATGTCTAGGACAAAATGAAATTTCTAGGAAAAATCAAAAACAGCCAGTACATTTTCTTTTGGATGGCATGGGATAAAGAGAATAAACAGGGACAATTACAACATTGTAATCCATCAGACATCTCCCCAAGAGAAAGAAAGGAAGAAAGAAAGAAAGAAAGAAACCCTTTCTATGTTCTATAAATTCTATTCTGGATGCATGAACTAGAACAGAGAACATTCTACACACACACACACACACACACACACAGGAGAAAAAAAAAGAGGAGGCTGGGGACCACTTTCATGGCAAAGGAGTCATAACCAATGTGTTGGAATTTCATCAATATGACATCATTCCCAATGTGATAGGGTAGAGCCCACCCTCCATTTCCCCTCCATCTCTCTCACATGCCCCCTTTCCTCTTAAGGAGATGATGAAGCTGCCTGCACAGCACAGAAGGATAATAAAAACCTGTATCCCTTAAGCTGAATTCAGCCCAATGAACTGCACAAACAGCAATAACCAAAACAAAGCTAGCAGGAAACGTTTGCACACAGCATCTGTTATGATCGCACAACCACGAGACAGCTGTTTAATCCCAACTGTTAACATAAGATCATTTGTGTGTTTGAAGAGCGATCCCATTTGGATTTTCCCCTTTATTTATTTATTTTCTAGCTTTTCCAAGAGTGAGGCTTTCTCAGCTGTAGGATGCAATTTGTGTTTCTGGCTTTTTCCACTTTCAACCCCGGCTTCCGAATGAAAGGGGTGGTGTGGTTTTCTAACTATAAATACTCAGAGGGGAAAGAAGACGGCTGTGTGGTCTCCTAGCTGAGAAGGGCATGGCCCTTTCTCAGCCTCTGGGACCTGCTTTCTGCTCCCCAGAACATTCATAAACCTTGCTGGTTGGATTATGGGAAAAGGCCCTCACATGAAACGATTCTGGTGGTCTCTGCCAAATTCTGGTGTGGCTGAGGATTCTCAGCACCACCCAGGATTGGAAACAATCCCTGTGAAGTTCAGTTCCCAAATCCAAAAACAAAATCATTAGGTTCACAATTGCTTTGGAAGGTCAATGAGGATGTCAGCAGTTTGGGTGGCCTGAGTGCCCACGGAAGCATGAGCTGCACACCTAGATAGCTTAAGATGGTGAGTGCCACAGTCATTCTTTTTCTTTTGTTCCATTTACATTGTAGCTCACTGTTTGCAGACTCCCCAAATGCTCAGTTGAGAACATGCATGCTTTCCTATTGAATTGCTGCCAACATGTCACACAAGTGGCTGATGACAGTGACAAGCAGTATAGAGCTGACCACATGGTCCTTGGGTGAAAAGAGTTGGCCATGGAAATTTGGATTGGACAAGCATTAACCTTGAGAGCTGCCTGAAATTAGCATTACATAAATCTTTCTTCACATCCTCTCTGTTAATATTTCATCCCACTGAATCCTATGTTTTGATCCCAACATGATAATAACATGAATAATACTAACTTTATCTTTTGGGGAAAATTGAAAGCTGACATCCTTCCAGAGCTTGGGAGCAAATATCTTAAACCTGATTTTAGGACAAGTTCATTTCTAGGTTGCATCAACCTTGGAAATAAAAAAGACTTTTCAGTCTTCATACATTTTCAATTATATATATAAAGTTTTTTTTAAAAAAATTTTTTTATTCTTGGCTGTTCAAAACATTACATAGTTCTTGATATATCATATTTCACAATTTGATTCAAGTGGGTTATGAGCTCCCATTTTTACCCCATATACAGATTGCAGAATCACATCAGTTACACATCCATTGATTTACATATTGCCATACTAGTGTCTGTTGTATTCTGCTGCCTTTCCTATCCTCTACTATCCCCCCTCCCCTCCCCTCCCCTCCCCTCCCCTCTTCTCTCTCTGCCCCCTCTACTGACATTCATTTGTCCCCCTTGTATTATTTTTCCCTTTCCCCTCACTTCCTCTTGTATGTACTTTTGTATAACCCTGAGGGTCTCCTTCCATTTCCATGCACTTTCCCTTCTCTCTCCCTTTCCCTCCCACCTCTCATCCCTGTTTAATGTTAATCTTCTTCTCATGCTCTTCGTCCCTACTTTGTTCTTAGTTACTCTCCTTATATCAAAGAAGACATTTGGCATTTGTTTTTTAGGGATTGGCTAGCTTCACTTAGCATAATCTGCTCTAATGCCATCCATTTCCCTGTAAATTCTATGATTTTGTCATTTTTTAATGCAGAGTAATACTCCATTGTGTATAAATGCCACATTTTTTTTATCCATTCATCCATTGAAGGGCATCTAGGTTGGTTCCACAGTCTAGCTATTGTGAATTGTGCTGCTATGAACATTGATGTAGCAGTGTCCCTGTAGCATGCTCTTTTTAGGTCTTTAGGGAATAGACCGAGAAGGGGAATAGCTGGGTCAAATGGTGGCTCCATTCCCAGCTTTCCAAGAAATCTCCATACTGCTTTCCAAATTGGCTGCACCAATTTGCAGTCCCACCAGCAATGTACAAGTGTACCCTTTTCCCCACATCCTCGCCAGCACTTGTTGTTGTTTGACTTCATAATGGCTGCCAATCTAACTGGAGTGAGATGGTATCTTAGGGTGGTTTTGATTTGCATTTCTCTGACTGCTAGAGATGGTGAGCATTTTTTCATGTACTTGTTGATTGATTGTATGTCCTCCTCTGAGAAGTGTCTGTTCAGGTCCTTGGCCCATTTGTTGATTGGGTTGTTTGTTCTCTTATTGTCTAACTTTTTGAGTTCTTTGTATACTCTGGATATTAGGGCTCTATCTGAAGTGTGAGGAGTTTTGAATTCAGCAAAGTGGCAGGATATAAAATCAACACGCATAAATCAAAGGCATTCCTGTATATCAGCGACAAATCCTCTGAAATGGAAATGAGGACAACCACTCCATTCACAATATCTTCAAAAAAAATAAAATACTTGGGAATCAACCTAACGAAAGAGGTGAAAGACTTATACAATGAAAACTACAGAACCCTAAAGAGAGACATAGAAGAAGATCTTAGAAGATGGAAAAATATACCCTGTTCATGGATAGGCAGAACTAACATCATCAAAATGGCGATATTACCAAAAGTTCTCTATAGGTTTAATGCAATGCCAATCAAAATCCCAACGGCATTTCTTGTAGAAATAGAGAAAGCAATCATGAAATTCATATGGAAAAATAAAAGACCCAGAATAGCAAAAACAATGCTAAGCAGGAAGTGTGAATCAGGCGGTATAGCGATACCAGACTTCAAACTATACTACAGAGCAATAGTAACTAAAACAGCATGGTACTGGTACCAAAACAGGCGGGTGGACCAATGGTACAGAATAGAGGACACAGAAACCAATCCACAAAACTACAACTACCTTATATTTGATAAAGGGGCTAAAAGCATGCAATGGAGGAAGGATAGCATCTTCAACAAATGGTGCTGGGAAAACTGGAAATCCATATGCAACAAAATGAAACTGAATCCCTTTCTCTCGCCATGCACAAAAGTTAATTCAAAATGGATCAAGGAGCTTGATATCAAATCAGAGACACGCCATCTGATAGAAGAAAAAGTTGGCTACGATCTACGTACTGTGGGGTCGGGCTCCAAATTCCTCAATAGGACACCCATAGCACAAAAGTTAATAACTAGAATCAACAAATGGGACTTACTCAAACTAAAAAGTTTTTTCTCAGCAAAAGATACAATAAGAGAGGTAAATAGAGAGCCTACATCCTGGGAATATATATATAAAGTTTAAGGTAAGAGTGACTAGTATCTCTTTGAAATGAAGGATATCAGAGTAACAATTCTTTGAGGACCTTTGAATTTCTCCTGAAATAACAACAGTCTCTCTATCATTCTTTGTAGCTCCACCTCCAACAATTATTGTTTTTTTCCCCTGCCTGTGTACCCTCAAAGAAAAGTTAAAAGAGATTTCTATAGATGTTAATTTTCTGAGATTTACAAAGAAAAGTAGAAGTCATCAGTAGGGCAACAGTCAAAAAGTCAATAGTAGAAAAAATTAACTATTTTGGTCTGTCCGTGGTGTGATTTCTTATCATACTTAGATAAAATGTTTTTACCTTTAGTCTGGCATTCTCAAACATGTGGAAAAGTTTGAAGCCTCTAG